TATATTCAACAATTCTACTTAAAATTAGGTGTCTGTTTGCTATCAATTTCTTTCTCTAGAAAAACACCCAAATATAAAACAGATGAGCCAAACCGCATGGTACCTTTTATTTTGATTTGAATAGGGCATATTGACTCAAAGTAGAAAAGGAAATAAACAGTGTTAATTCATAAAATATTTATGTTGTCGAATTGATTGATTGATTGTATATTGTTTTACGTCCCGTTAGAAAATTTTTCTCTCATATAGAGACGTCACCATATACCGGTGAAGGGCTTCAAATTTAGAGCTTTACTCGGCACTTAGGGCCATTGAACAATGAGGGTTCCTTATCGTGCCAACGCTTACCGTGCCTACAGTGAGATGGGGCCTCAGTTTTTAAGGTATTATCCGACGGACCCGCAACGTTCACTACAAAGTGCCGTGCGCTTGGCGAAGGAACAGTTGCTACCTATTTTGAACCGACTGAGGTCGGTCGAGGCCGTGATTCGAACACACGACCTTCCGCTCACGGACCGACTGAGCTACCGTGACAGCTTGTCTAATTAAAGACCACAGCAAAAGTCTTCGTTTTTAATATAAAAGTATTAGAATAATCTCTGCTTCATATTAATATAAAAGCAGATCTGCTGATAATGGTGCAAAATTAGTACTCAGAGAAATCCTATCAACTACTGTATGTGTACTTGAAAAAGCGGGCTTCATGTTTTAGCGGCTTTTGGTGCGAACAACGATGCACTAATTCATGAATACCGCTAAGATATGATATATAATATATGACTACTCAAACAACTCAATGCCCAATAATTGTGTTAAATTTATGTACACGTAAAGTAGTTGGAAGACCTAGACTCCGAAATCCAAATAGATATTGTCATTGAAAAGCTCAAGCATCATTTTAATACCAACCTCGAAGCACCTATCTTTAAATTGTTTTAACAAAATAAAAATAACATACTACCAATGGTAAGGTATTCAAACTTCTTTTATTGAAAAAGCAGGTGTCTAATGTCAAAGCGTCTGGTCGTCAATTGATCGTGGACAATAGATGTATAAAGGGTTGAAAAAGATGCACTTGATTTTGATAATATTTTGTGCTTTCAGATTTTCTAAGTTCCTTGCAGTATATAAGTATCTACATCTCGGATATTTGAGGCACAAAAATCTCTAAATTCCCTGCTTTTAATATTTTCTTGAGGAGTAATGAAAGGTTTTGGCTTTGTAGAACATTTATTAGTACCTGCAATGTATCTCTGTTTTTAAGAATTTAATAAATTTTAGAAACCGAATATACATGTAGGTATGGAACATGTTTTTGTCAAATTCAATCTTTTTTTTTTTTTTTTTTTTTTTTTTTTTTTTTTTTGAGAAAAATATTCAAAACTGACGTATAATTTTGAAAAAGTTCCTCCTTAGAAAGGGTACAATGAGTATAAGTTGGATTACCACTTGTAAAATTAAATCCAAGTTCCTTTAAAATACAATTGTAAATGATATAATGAGCCTTACAAACAGATACTTTGCTGTAACATGCTTTGCCATGTAATGTTACAACAAAGTTTACATAGAACTTTGTCAAAGTTGTAAACATTTGTTATATGCATTTGCATTGTAAATAATCTTTGCTGCATCAATTTTTTTTTTATGAATTCTGTAGATATGACGAATCTTATTACGAAATGTGTGTGTTTAGACTTTACATATATAATATATGATAGAATCATGATAGTCATGAACTTAGCTATCAATCTAATTTTATCATTTTGTATTTGAAGGAGACCGAACTATTCTTTCATTTAAGGGGGCCGACTGGGGTTTTCATTGCGCAATACTTCGCGCAGCATAGGGAAATAAAGCGTATTTACCCTTTTAATTCAACTATTTTTACATAATTTATAAAAATTAACAAATTTAGGAAATCTCAGGTTAAAATATCTAATTAAGTTTTTAAATTACTGATTTTTTAAACGATTTTTCAAATGATGGGTAGATAGACATCGTAATAGTGTGTTTTTGACGTTATGAATAACCGAAGTTCTTGAAGCGGGGTCATTAATTATGCCATAAAATAAAAAGTATAAAATACATGCTCTTGAAACTTTTAACATAGGAAATTGAGAATCTAACAATCATTTTTATCATTTTTTATGTCAATCTGTGGTATCTGTCATGTTTTGTTGTACTCCATAAAAACAGGAAAATATAATGAATTTTGACATTTTGAGATGCCCCCTCTGGAAACCAGACGGTAGAGTTTTGTGTTTCTTGCACAAAATGTACAATATAGTATTACCCATCAAATAATATAATTTGAGCAAAAAGTCTATAGTAGCATTTGTATAAGCTGCTCAGAAGTGCGAAAAAATGGTATTTTCCTATATAATCCTATTGTAATTGTACCTGTATTTTGAGATGGTCCCTAAAAAATAATCAGACGGTATATTTTCACTAATTCTGGTATGTATACTGAAGTCAATGTAAGGTACATATGGTATAAAATTAAAGAGTTTCTCTATAGTAGTTTTCACACAATAAAACCCCAGTCGGCTCCCTTAAATAAACATTCAATTCTATTCCTTTATATCCTACATCATTTACATTATTTCGCCAAATTTACTGATTGTCTGTGCGTTTTACTTTGATTTGTAAACGCGCATAAAAATTCTTTTCATAAAGTCTTTTTGTTTTAAACTGGACAGCGTGTTCTGATTGATAAAATATGAAGAAAGTAAATTTACTGAAACGCAAAAGAAACGCAACAACCTATTTTAGGGGGAAATATTATATATAGGATATAATTTGGTATCTAAAAAGTAAGGACATCTTCAACTTTGAAAATATCGGTAATTTAAGGGTTGAATGATTTTCATACCATTACCGGAAGTTTAGTTTGAGTCCGCTTAACAGAAATAAAAAAATTGCATGCTTAAGAAAATATTTGGCAATAATATGGGGTTTTAGGAATTTGCATCTGTTCATCATAAGTAATGAAGCATTGTTACGAAAAATAACTTCTCCTTTCTTTTCCGTAAGCGATGCCAAGGCTTCCTAAAAATGACTTAAGTACGCATTTCCATTGCTCTAGCTAGAAAATCATCTCAAAATAAAGGTGATGGAGAGTTGCAGATGCAAATTTCACGCCTCAACTGGCTCTTACGTATCATTAGCATGAATGTTAGTCCTTAGACCGGAAGTCCAAGGGTTACTACGCTGCGCTTGGCTAGAGAAAATTCGACCTCATCATCTGAAAAACAGGCATTTAAAAATGGCAAAAAATATTTCTTTCGCTCGGATCTCGAGATTGATGAACCTACTGCATCGTAGAAATCAAGCTGCAACTGTTGTAAGTGGCAGTCTTGCACGCTGTAATTGAATGGCCGGGGTGGGGGGGGGGGGGGTTAACATTCATGTGTTACTTTCTAAAGATAAAAGATTATAATTTAACATTTTGATCAAATCTCTGTTTAATAATCGAGTTTTACCTTACTATATTCATTTTTGAAAATCATTAGATAAAAAATTCAAATATTTGTAGATTACCGCTTGTTGCGTTTCTTTTGCGTTTCAGTATATAAAGATTTTTTGCTGCCCTCCTCGTAATGTTTGGTAATTTTTTAGATGTTTTATTCTCTTTATCTGACAATACCTTGTACACTACACTGAATAAAATTACATAAGAAATGCTTTATGAGAAAAGAAAAAAATAAATTTCGTATAAACAATTAATTGTATTTTGCATACATGTATTATAAATACAATCGTATAATTGTTATAGATATGGATTATTATACATTTTAGCATCTTGACTCTCATTTATTTAGGTAATACGATTGCCTCAAACTTTCCTCCGATAATTCATATGCAATCAGGCGGTGGTACTCAGGAAGTGAACGAAAACATTATAATTGGTATGTACTTCATTCAAGTATAAAATATTTATTATTGTGAGCGTGTCTATTTATATGTTTGTTAAGTATTTTACAGAAAATACTGGCTGGTGGTAATTTCTGCGATACAAACTTAGAATCATCTATTATGAAGAGGGGAATCTATCAGAAACGTGGAATAAAATATTATAAAAGCTTTGTAAGGGACAAGAAATGTCACATGAATTTCAAAATTTAAACCAGGGAAAGATTTAATTGAGTCCCAGAATTGACTGTCATATAATTTACGTAAATATAAATTCAAGAATGGCAACTAAAATATCTCTGAAAACGCGAGTTGATGTGATGACTGGTGAGACATGGTGTTAAAATAAAAGAATTTAAGATGATTTACTCCCACCTCGAGCATTGTCAATAAGGATTAATCATCATTCAAATGTATCCAATGTATAATCAAAAGCATGTAGAAAAATGAAAAGGATTTTTTTTTGGGGGGGGGGGGGGGTCTGTTATCATGCTAACATAATCGGATTTGGTTGTTCATTACCAAAACATATCCGCCGGAATATGGCTGAAATATTGCTGAGTCGGCGTTAAACAATAAACAATCAATCAATCAATCAATCAACCAAAACAGAGTCGGCATCTGTCAGTTTAGTTGTAAAAGTATTAATTCATTCTTTCTTAAAGAAAAAGTATAACATAAATTCATTCAAATCACATGCATTTAATAATACCTCCATGAAGCATTACATGTAGTCTGCAATTTGAAACACAAAACCTTTCATCGGTTAATATAAGATTTAATTCCTGTAACACTGGGTATAAAATAATTTTAGAAGGCAACATCCTCATATGAAATCATATAAATCTAATCCAAGTTTACAAAAACATCCTCTTGTGGGTAAAAATTCGGTTCGAATCGCACGGAGTATATATTTGAATACCGGTATGTACATACAAATTTTGATTCCTATACCATTTTAATTTGATATTAGAATTCTAAAATATATGAAAGACATGTTTAGAAAAAAGCATTTTCTACTTAAAAAGAGGTTCATCAATTATAACCGACAGGTACGAAGCTTTTCAGTATCACAGCACAAGACAGAAATGGTGGAACTGTCACGGTTAAAGCAGCAGGAGAAACCAGTGACATCGTTACAATCAATCAAACACGTAGTGATACCTGGGCAGTTTTTCTGAAAAAGAATTAGATAGAGAGGTTGTAAATTTGTATGTGTCGTACATTTTTTCTAAATATTTAGCGTATGATTTGAAGAATGGTATTCCTGATAAGTTTAATGTGAAGTGTTTTCTTCCCATAATTAGCATTTAACTTGTTTTAACTGTACGTGGTAATCATGTAATACATATAGTTATCAAAAATTATATCAAAAAACTGGAAAAAATATTGAAGTCAATTTCAAAATTATATTTTTACATTTGGTGCAATTTTCTTTATAAAATCCATTGGAAATCTGCAACATTCAATACCCTACCTATATAACACACACGAAACATTGTCATTGTGCGGTAAAGTACATAGTAGAAATTATATACATTATCTCTAGAATACTAAAATGTCTATTGTTTTGGCTCAATTTAATTAAAAACAAATACCCTATTAAATAAACATAAAAATATAACAAATTTAATTTTAATTTTTCATTTCTCCCCTTGGAATATTTATTAGCGTTATTTTAAGTCTCCATGTCACAACGGCTCACTTTCCACGCTCAACGGCTCTTACGTTCTATTAAGCACACCTTTTCTGAAAAATAAATTCATAAAGAAAGAATAAGGAAAATAAAATATTCCGAAGAGGGAAAATTAGAGAATGTAAATATAAACATTGATGTTAATGTGCGGTATTCAATTTATCGGCACGGCCATGTGCTGTTATATGAACGGCGACATCCAAAAATAAGAATTCAATGCATATTTACATCCACTGAATATTATGTCCTTTATTTCTTAAGAAAACCAGTACGGTTTATCAGACACTAAACACCACTACGGATTTCGTGAGCAGTGGCAGTTCCATCAATGAAATGTACAATAACGTATTTATCAATAATACAAAATATCATCTACTTAATTCTATTATAAATTACTATTTGTACAGATATAAATATAAATAATAAAATGTTTTTCTTTGTTTGTTAGTTCAGAAATTAACGTTGCAGCAATTGGAGAAAAACGCAGGGTTATGCATTTTTTCTGCAACAGCTGCTACATTAATTCCCGAACTAATAGCCAAAAAAAGCATTTTAATTAAATATTTTCTATTGAAAGAGGTAGTTTTAAATGTTTAACACATTTTCTTAATCCAAGATAACATGGAAAAGCTGTAATACAGCAATAAGTCTGAACTATTGAATTTTTTTTCAGACACAATCACAACATCTGTTAAGATTCATTGCCACTAGCAGCGAAAAGGGTGCTCCTTCGGTAAGATCTTGTTCGCAGTTACAGGCAAAATCTTTTAACAGTTGTATTTCTTTGCTAGCACAGAAATACAATTGTTGAAAGATTTTGATTATTTTGTGTATGAAAACCAATTTAAACTTTGTAGTCTGCCTTAGAGGTAACCCTTTTTGTGAATGACGTAAATGATGTTGCTCCAATATTCTCACAACCAGCGTACCGTATCAACGTTCCAGAGGTAGATTCTGTTATACAAGTATATTATGTATAATTTATTGATACTTGTATACAACATTTCCTAGCTATTCATTATTTAAGCTACAACATAACCTTTCCCAAATAAATGCCACGTCTTTTAATTAGGATCATGACTTAACTGTTCCCATCAACATCTTCATCTCTGCTACCGACCCTGACAATGGAACCGGAGGATCCGTGTCCTATGATATGAAGGTTATTATCTCTATAGTCTTATAAAAAATGTGTGTGTGGTTTTTTGTTTTTGTTTTTTGTTTGTTTTTTTTTTTTTTTTTGTTTGTTTTTTTTTTTTGGGGGGGGGGGGGTTGCTAATAAATAAGAAAACTTTTTTGAGTGATTACTAAGATAACAATAATTAACATGCTTTTTTGTCGTCTACAGTCTGCCGGCCAAGTAAGTAAATACTTTGCTTAGAATTATCCTAAAAATTCATTTCAAATTAAAAGAAAATTAAAGATTCTTCTAATGATTATCTTCCATTGAAGGCATAAATTGAATTTTAAAAAATATATTTACCTCTCTTTTATAGTTAGGATCATTTATTCATTATCATATGAAGAATGCATGTAGTTGAGGGTAACTTTGAAAATATTCAACCCAAGAAAACCATTGTCACTCGAGGCGCAACCGAGGATGACAATGGTTTTCGAGGGATGAAAATTTTCAACTACATGTTGTATTTATTACATTATACTGAATGTTTAATACAAATAAATATAACACTGAATCGTGCGCGCATGAATTCTGTGCAGTTAATATTTTTTTGGAATATCACTCTTCGTCAAGCAATGTTGAATGTTGCTACACTGGAGGGCGTGGTCCCATCATTAGGAGGGTAATTATGTGTTTTGACAAAATTATTTCGACGAATCAGATTCAACTAATTTACATGAAAGTATAATATAAAAAAAATAGTCCATTTTTATAAATGCAGTTATACATACATACAACCATATTTTGGTTGACTCAAAAGGATTTCTAAAAAAAATCCCATTTTCATTTTTAAGGCATCTGCGCTATATGGAAAAACATTCATCATGGATCCACTAAATGGACAAGTCATCCTAAATCAAAGCCTTGATTATGAGAAATTAACCTTTTATCAGTATACACTGATTGCCAAGGTAAATGAAATAGCCAAAACCAACCTTCCTATTTGCTTTAAAAACTTGAATAACTCGTTGACAATTTAATTGGTACACTGTATGCTTGAATGACTTCAGTTAAGGATTTTTTTTTCTTTTTTCTTTTTTTTTTTTTTTGTCTTCTTTCCGCTTATTTTAAGAGATTAACAAACTTTATTTGCTTTGTCAAATTTTTTTTCTGTGATGTTGAATTTAACATACATTTATTCATAATTTTGGTTAGGAGCAATGCATAGAAAACTGCTTTTGACATAGAATGTTTTAAAGCGCGGTAAAATGTACGATAGAATATGGTATTCCCTGCATCTTAATTTACTGAGAACACATTTCAAACTCGCATCTTCCAAAAATAGTTATAAATAAGTTTTAAGGTGCTTCTTCAACAATGCGATACAGTACGCAAATACACATACAAATGCAAGTTATTCCTTGCGCATTGAATACATGCAGTGATATGCATTTACTTTTCTTAATATACATGTAATAGAAATGGAAAGTATGCTTAAACTCAGCGATGGGTAAACCCAGCGAAAAAAGGCCACTATTCTTTTTGGAACCAACATATTGCTACACACACCAAACTCGGAATATGAAACATACTGAAAATGATTTTATTCTTCGTGTCGTATATTTGGCGGAAATTGATTTTTTTATAAGTTAGCGTAGATTTGATTTATCGTTTTTATATTATTCTTATTAAATTGTTTATGTGTAATTCATTTAGTGTTGTTTTGAATTAGTGGAAGCTGCTTTCCGCCAAAGTTGACAAAAGAATTCATAACTGTTTGTAATACTTTTAAAGTACAGGCCCGTAGGAAGCAATTTCAGTTTGGGGGGCACAGCCATACATTTCCAGTTGACAGTTTAGGGGGTACTACCAAAAATTTCCTGACAAGCAAAAAGAAAAAAAAAGTCATAAGACGTTTTTATTGAGGGGGCACAAACATATGGTATCCATGTTTACTATGGTAATCTATATATCGGTAAAATTATTGGGGGGGGGGGCACCCCCCAGTGCCACCCCCCCCCCCCGGTTCCTACGGCCATGAAGTAGCAATGAAATGTCATTTCTTTCCATTTTTAAAATCATTGAGCAAAAAGTATTCAAATGACATGTTTTACACATCTGATATATTTTGTAATTGTGTCTGGATAACATTACATGCATTTCCTTGGACAGAATGATGAATTTCTCGTTTACGTATAATTTTTCATCGTTTTCTGTTATTGGTCTTGGCTTCTATCCATAGAATGTTTCTATATGAGTAAACATTTCTCGAATTGGACGTTAAACATCATAAAATCAATCAAATCTTCCATCCAGAGATAAAGGGAAACATAGTATTTAATATTGGTTACCTAAGGAATCTTTATTGAAACACGATAAACATTTTAGTGTATCTTCGTTAGGATGGCGGCAATCCTTCACTTACAAGTACGGCAGACTTATTGATTATTATATTAGATGTTCAGGACACACCACCCATTTTCCAGGGATTACCATACATGACAACAATTAAAGAAAACTATTCTGTGGTAAATCTTAAAAAATTCAAACCATCAAGTATTTCTTTTATCAACATTGACATAAAAAATGTGCAACCATTATAGCAACCAAGGACGAATTTTGCTAAAAGTTATGTTGAGAGAATTACCAGTATATTTTCATGTGGTCAAGCCTATCATTCTTAGAAAGAGTTCATTGATAATAATTCAAAATTAAGTGTTAATTTAAGTCCTAAAGATCTCCTTGACAAGCTGTAGAATTGTTCGACTCTTAAACAATTGATGATAATCTTTCTTTTTTTATCTTTAAAGGGACAACTATTTTCAGAGTTTTGGCTGTTGATGGGGACACTGGTATACCAAATGATATAACTTACAGTTTTTCTTCAGGTATTGCAAAGTCACATGACCTAAATTTCTCTAAAGCATTATCAAACAATCAATATTCGACAATAGCAGAATATGAACAACCACTGAATATGTTCTCCTTTTATTTCTTATGAAAACCACTTCTCTTAAACAATCTATGAATTGTGAAGTAGTCAGACACAGTTTTTCAATGCCATCTGTAAGAAAGATTTCTTTAACAAAAGGCCCTCCCATCAATTAAACATACCGTAATAAACATATTAATTATAATACATTTTATTCACGAACATTACATTGTTTATTTGTTTATAAAGACATAATAAACAAAAAAAAATTGTTTGCCTTTGTTAATGCGGAAACCCGATTCTAAGCATTGCAGAATTTGTTTTTACAGGATTCACTTACACGGGTTTCATTTTTTGACAATAGTTGCAACCATTATTTCTCGCAAGAACAAAATATTTTATTTTTTGAATAAGTGAACGTTCTGTATCAAAATAAGCTTTAATAATTCTGTTTTAGTAGAATTTTTAGCGAGACGCAAATTTAGGGATATGCATGTTCTTAAAAAATCAGTATTTAATTTTATCGAGAACTAATTCTAGCGATTTTATGGTGCAAAGAAAAATACCGGTAACTTCTAATGCTGAATAAATTTTTAGCTTAAAACGCTTAATTGAATCCTAGCTAAAATTTCTTCTTATATGGTTTATGGCACCATAAATGAAAAAAGTGTAAATTTATGTGCTGATATCCCAGGTACAGAATATTGCTCACAATTTCTTTCTGTGGATCGAAACACTGGTAATATCACAATTAATAAGACAATGGACAGGGATGGTGGACCTATAAAACAGTTACGTGGAGTCTGCACTGTGAATGTGAAAGTAAGTATGTAGTTCACATATTAAAAGAGTAAATGATCAAAATTTCTCCTCAGTATAGTGAAAATTCTGGTTAATTTGTTTGTTTGTCTGTTGTTGTTTTTTGTTCTTGTTTTGCAGGCCTCAGAGGTTACAGATAAACCCAGCTATCTGACAGAGACAGTTAAACCATTCACCATCACCATAGAAGATGTGAATGACAACCGACCAATATTTAATCAATCAACTTATTATGGCTCTGTAAAAGAAAACATGACGGATATCCCTATAACAATATCTGGGGATGGACTTTATGTTAAAGATATTGACCAGGTAATAAAGAAGGGATATGATAATTTTTTTCAAGGTTTTTTTCTTTTTAATGCATGATCAATGTAAATTATTTTGTTTATGAAATGAATTTTAATGAAATAGATTAAATATATGAAAGCTTTATTTCTGCACAAGATTTGGAAAATATCTACATGTAGGCTATTTACCAATATCTACAAATATCTATCAATATAAGTAACTACACTTTGCCAATACTTTATCGTAACATGTAAATGCATGTAGTCACGTATCATAAGGGGATGCAACGGTGGCTAACCCACCAATTTTTTTCAAACATATTGTTTTTACTGTTAATTTAATATGAAAATAATCTTAAAGTCGGTATATATACGTATCTTTGATGCCATTTAGAACGAATCGATAGAAAAATTTTCTGCGACGTCACAACACAAATGTGGGTATTTACAGTACAAACTGATTTTCCTCTGTAAGCCAGGATTTTTTTCTATACACTCTATGTAATGAATGAATTTCATAGCTACCCAAGTTATACTGTATTACCTGGCCGGTACAGTTTACAATTTATAAACGGCAAAGCAGATAATTAAAAAATTTTTTTTTTAAAACTGTTCCAACCAAGCTTATACAAGTGAAACTTACGTAGTTTTTTTTTAATTTTATTTCTTATAATTTAATTTTCTATAATGCAGTGTAAAAATTCACAGTTTTTCATCGAATATGTCTTCAAATTGAAAAAAAATATATCAAATGTAACGTCAGATGGATTGATTCTTTTTCCACCTAAGCCATTGCGACTTAGATAAGAAAGTTGTATGATAATTTTCGATCCAATCAAATGGCGTGTTACACCCAGAAATTAATCAGATAGAAAAACATCAAAGCTTACATATTTTTAATTACATATTTTACTAAATATTTCAGTCCTATCGTTTCATAATAGATTTTACCTTATTTTTTTTAAAGATCAGTCATTATACATGTGCTAGTATTTAAAATCACTTTGGAGAGAAATTCGAATAATGAGGCATCTAAACTCTGGGCAAAATTTGGAGTCGGGCTTTTTACTGTATGTTGTACACAAAACATCCTCTTGCTGCACAAGCCTACTACATTTTGACTATTTCAGGGACGTGTAACACAAAATAATTTTTTTCTTTAATTGCAGATGGGAAGCAATGATATCAAACTCCACGTTTACATGAACGACAGTAATATACAATTCAATGATGTTGTGGCTTTACCTAGTTTGGTGTCCTCTGAGGGGACTTTTCTGCTTCTTTTGACGAATAAGTTTAAGTTTGATTATGAAAAACACTCAAAAATTAATTTAATAGTAAGTATTTAAAACTTACGTTATCTAATTTAACGTGGTGTACTAAACAGCATATTTGTTTGACAAATTAAAGGTATGTTTATTATATTTAGCATGTGCATAGTTTGTAATAAAATATTATGAAAAATACCAGCATTACAAATCCTTTGACATACTTTGTAAAATATGCTTGTCACTCCGACAGTTAATTTAACTTATGTCGTTTTAATATTCAGCGACAATGCTTTGATAATTAGCAATTTTATCTTATGTTTATGATCTTATAACACTGCACTTTAATTTGAAAATATTTGATATAAAGTTACCACACAAACTGAAATTTAAATATCACGAAGATAAATCAAGAACGGTATACCAAAACGGGTGGTTGTAGACTGACAATACAGTGAAGAAAGGCTGAAATCTCTTTTGGAAAATTGTTGGATAAAGCACATTATATAGTGATAAATGGTTATTTCAGATAGTTTATAAGTCATTTAAGCTTGAGGGGGGCATACTTCTGACTTACCATCCGTGGATTTTTAAGACATATGCATGAACTATGATAATTGTAACAAATAAATAGCTGATCATTATAAAAAGTATTTACTTCTTTAATAATGCTATAAAGTAGGCGACACAAGCGTTCCTTGGAACACTCTAGCAAATATACATGCATCATTTGTTTTGTTTTTTTTTTCTTTATCTTAGATTTTAAGTTGAAGACATGAAAACAACATAGTTTAAGTTTGATAATATACATATTGTTGATTCGTAACTAAGATAAAGGCAGAGGACAAGAAAGATTCAAGTATGTTCAGTGTCTGTACCGTACACGTTACAATCAACGACACCAACGATAACGATCCTATTTTCAAAAACACATTGGAAAACTTCACTCTTCCTGAAAACAGCTCTTTCAACACAACAGTCACAGAGATAAAGGTAAGTTTTAAGTACTCAAGTACATACATGTATATTAAAATTATCATTACAAAGCAACGAATGCGATTTACTTTTTTAAATCTCTATGCTATTTTTCAAAAATGACAAAAATTCCAGGGAAAATGCTGTATATGTTTGAGTTTGCAACAAAGTAATTTAATACAAATGTAAATGATCAAGTTTCTTTTATAGATGAAAGTCCAAAAATTAAATGTTTCAAATCTGTTGATTTTGGTAAAATAAATGTTCAATGAATTCAACGTTCAACAATGTTTCCGAAAAATATCTAAAACATATTCTGAATAAAAAGATTACAAAAAGAAATCTGAACTATCTGCTCTAAATGATTCAATTAAAATTAAGTTATTCTTTTGGGAGGGTAAAATGTAAGGAAAAAAATCACATGCTTTATAGATATATACAATTAAACGTGTAATGTCATTGTAAATTGCTTTTCAATCATGTTTTACTTTAAAAAGACTTGTTAATTGACAGGCAACAGATGCCGATTCTGGGAAATATTCCGAAATTACATACCGTCTGCAAGGAAGCAACAGGTAAAGTTTTCTATTGACACCTGAGAGATGTTTAATCTGATTATTGATCATTCCTAGGAAATATTGATGAGTTCTGGAGGACAATTAATTTCTTTTTTTAGCATTTTCCTATGTATTGTAGTGCGCTAGACCGCTCGACCATCTAGGCAAGTTAAAACAAACTTGCGTGAGACGCCGATGGAATTCTCGCGGCCCTTCCCTACACTACAAAGTCATTGAGAATGGAAGTGAGATACAGTTATTTAGACAATAGTTTTATTAGAGGATTGTTACCGATACACATTGCAATGAAATTAGTTTTATTTATAAAGCACATTTTATAACTCTTAACTGCCCTAAGTGAAGAAATATTAATATAGAAAGCACAAAGAAATTCACTTTTATATGGACACCCACTTCCTCCCCAACCCGGGATTGAACTCTCGACCTACGGAATCTGTCTCTTAGCAGTGCATGAACAGTGCGCTATATAGACCGCTCAGTCATCAAAGCACATTTTACAACAACTCTTAAACTAACATAACAGCCCTAAGTGAAGAAATATGAATCTAAAAAAGCACAAAGAAATTCAATTTTTAAAGGATACCCACTTTCGCCCAAACCCGAGGTTGAACTCTCGACCTACGGAATCTGTCTCCTAGCAATACAGGAACAATTAATTTTATTACAATGTGTATCGGTAACGATGCTCTAATAAAACTAATGTTGAAATTACTATATCTCACTTCCATTCTCATTGACCGTGTAGTGTACGACAGTTGCGCGAAAATTCCATCGGCGTCGAAAGCAAGTTTTTAACTTGCCTAGATGGTCGAGCGGTCTAGCGCACTGTTTCCTTACTGCTAGGAGACATCATCTGTAGGTCGACAGTTCAATCCCGAGTTAGGCGGAAGTGGGTATCCTTATAAAAGTGAATTTCTTTATACTGCTAAAATTTAAAAAAAACATTTATTTGTTAACAAAATATATGACATGGCCTCTAATTGTTCATTGTAGTAAATTATTTAGCTTAGAAATAATGATTGGTGGCACATAATTAGCACTCAACCCCTATGCAGTATTTTTTAAAAACATTTCACCAAACATGGGATCAATATTATGTTATTTCTAGGTTCAGCATCAACTCTACGACTGGAGAAATATCAGTGGCATGTAACAACAGTTGCTTGGACAGGGAAAGACAGATAGTTTATTATATGTCGGTTGAAGCAAGAGATGGTGGGGGAAAGGTGTCGTCTGCTCCTGTAAAAATAACACTCATGGATGTAAACGATAACAGTCCGATGTTTTTACAGCCAAAATATGAATTTTGGATTTCGGAAAATTCTTCATTAATATCAGGAATGAATAACTTCACTGTACATGTAGGTCATATGATCAATAATTTTGGTATATCGACAGATTCTTACAACTCAAAATGTTATGACAAACGAGCAATGAATTATTTGACTTTTTATCCATATATTTTTACCTCTGGCAAAATGTTCAGGAAGGGGGTATCATTTCATTTTCATGTTTGCCTGTTTAACGTTCCATCGAGAATTTTTCACTAATATTGAGACACCACAATGCCGGTGCAGTGCTGCAAATTTAGACCTGTACTCGACAATCATGATCTTTGAGCAGTGAGGGATTCTTTCATTTTGTACCATCACCTACTGCGACACAAGATCTCGATTTTAACAATCTCATCTTATCGAAGGACCGGTCTTTACTTCCCACAGTGTGATTCAAACCCATGACGTAAATACTAACTCCTTTTACTCAGCGATTCTAGATGTAGAACAAACGCTTTAGCCACTGCGCATCAGGGGCGACGTGTAGTTTTATTGTATTTCTCTGTCCATGAATAATCTAAGTGAACATGAAATGTGTACAGATATTTCAGGGTTTATATGCACTAGAACAAGGATGATGAGTATTTAAAGTTTGTTCTTTTCATTCGTCTCGCAACATGTTACGATGGAATGCCGCCATAAACAGCTTTGACTTTGACAGCTGTTTATTACTACTGCTTACTTATATTATTGTCAAATGTATTGTCTTTAATAAACTCTTCAAAAGCTAAAATATTACAAGCAAAAATGCAAAAAGGCGGATCCAGGAATTCTATACGACAATGTTTAGTTTCAAATTCCACATTTGAAGCAATGACACACAATTAAATATTTTCTGTAACTTAAACATAATTATATTTCTTTAAAGATATGTAGTTACCTGACTGCATGTAATGTAAACAGTAAGCTTACTTGCTTTGATTTCTTATAATTATAGGCAGTTGATTACGATGAACCTCGCACAGCTAACAGTTTGATTACGTTCACTCTTCTTCCTCGACCAGACACCTTAGACAGACATTTTACCATTAACAGTACTACTGGGTCTATCCGGATCGTTAACCCTCTGACACGTGACCAGTTATCCTTGATCCCTAATGGAAGACTGGAACTAGAGGTTACTGCGCATGACCATGGTTCTCCAAGTCTGACTTCAGCTGTGTCTATTACAGCTTTTTTACAGGTTCAAAATTTCATCACTCTCTAGGTTTATTGCAATCTGAATTCATAATATAAAGAAACAAAGATAAACTTGACATATTCTGTTTTCAACTATAACGATCACAAAAAATTACTATCTGAAGCTGCAAGAACGGTTGTTAAAAATGAAATTTACAAGAATTGAAACATGTCTTTATATTAGAGATAGGTAGTGAGTATTAATACCTATTGTTTGACTGTACAAATGTTTAAGTCTAGCAATTTATTAGGTAGTTGCAATTTAAGAAATTTAAGTACTAATGAAGCTGTTCTAATGAAATTTTTAATACCAGCAAAAATCGTTAGGTGTTGCGAAGTATACAACTTAGTATATAAAAGAATTCCTTCATATATTGAATGATATTTTTGAACGTTGTAACCAGACAGAAAGCTTTGATTAAATAGGTACAACTGCACTCTTCCACATCGGGTAATTGTAATATCTCAAGTACAACGACATCGGTGAAACCCACACATTACGGGAGCGCTTATTCAGGTAAATTATATTTCTTTGTATTTTTCTCTTTAAATTCTTAATGTTTTTGAACAATCAAATTTGCCTTATAATATTTTTTGATAGAACTGAAATACGTGTACGCCAATGATTTATATAAATCTACGAGGGTCGTTCATAAATTACGCGGACTATACTTTTATTTACTCTCAAATAGTAAAGAAATTTTACAGAAACATATTTCTTAAAGATAAAAATATTTTTTTAATTGTGTTTTACATAATTTCTCCTAATATAAATGTCGTTTTGATATCACTGATAGTGATGTACGGAGCATCGCTAAAAATTTGGAAAAAACAAACGTGAGGAATCTAAATTATTGCTCATTTAATTTCTTTATTTTACAATTTTCTCAAAGGTATCTTTTTATTTTTCTTTTATAATGTATTTAAATTTCTGATATTATATTTGAAATACTAATAGAAACATATTGATTTTTCTCCTATGTAATTCGTATGAAAACGTCTACAACATGTCTCGTGATTTGACGGAGCAGCGCACTTTTATCAAGTTTTGTGTAATGCTCCAAAATATACATGATGAAATGTGTAGTAAACTAGGGTATTTCCGACATCTGTCTCCAAATAGCAAACAGGAGTTTAGACGTGACCGTAACGTTAAAGATTTTACTGCACCGTGACTTCGTGATATGTGCTGTCAAATCACCCAAAATTGAGATCAATTTACAGAATTTTGGTGTGGAATTTTGATGACCATATCAGTAAAGATTCTTTAATATTATTTGTGACTTTGTGCATGAATTTGTTGTCAAATACTTTTTCTGTGCAATAAGTCCGAGGAATTTTTTAACGACCCTCGTAAAACGTGTCTTTAAGGGTAAGCATTTGTATTGTGTGAAGGGCAAAAGGGTTACATTCATTGTGAAGTATGGTAGCTAATCCGAATTCTCTCTGCCGTATATGGAAGACTCACTAATGACATCTGTCCTTCAAACAATCTTGGTTCTCTTAAATGTCAGTCACACTCCTCCACAGACCAAGCAGATCCTAAGACTGACTGCTGAAAACAGCATTTTAGGGAACCATGTATCGGTGTCGACAAATATTTGGAAGTTTCTTTTCATTTTGTCGACCAATCCAGTTTACTTGATATATTTGGATAACCATTCTCTGAAAACCATTCACGATGAGAAATACTCATTTTCAAATAAAATTTCATCCTTGAAGTGTTTATTTTTTTAACAGCTTAATTATTATCAGACCTTTTTTTTTAATTTTTTATGAAGCAGAAAATATTCAAAAACTTCTACATAATAGAATATTCTTGTTCTCTGCTACTGTGGCCTTCAATTCGAAGATTTAAATATAGATGACGTTTTATCAAATAACAATTGATAACTGATTGATTATTTTCATTCATACCTTGATTGATATATCCCACTTAACTCGAAAAAAAAAGACTACACGATTCTGACATGTACACATCTGCTGTATATTTGGATGTTTTACTAGAAAAAAGCATTAATGACCAAACAACTACTCTATGATAACGTGATAACTTCTATAATCCTATTGTCAACTCCCCCTTTTTATGTAGCTGTATACCATTAAACATTTGAATAAGGGGCTTTTGTCTTGTGTTTGATTCGACATGCAAGAGCACGTGCTTTGTACAACCAGTTATTGGAACGAGGCAGGCTAATAACATACAAGTCTATGATAAATTAGTTTCTAAAATCTTGTTTGAAATCAACTTTTCGCAAATTCTATCTTGATACCATAACCTTTTTTGCAAGTAAAAATTGTTCGTTCCTAGAGCAGACTCTTACGAATGGAATTAATTGGGAGACATAATGCAGATGATAAGGGTATATTTCTACTCAAGTAAGGGAAGTTGACGATAGACAAATTGAAGTCTTTATGTTTACCATTAAATTCTGTTGTTAGATTACCAATAACGTCTTTTCTGATCAAATATCTAATTACGAAACGAGTGTGTCAGAATTTGTGGTATCTTTTATTTCAAGCTCACTGGGATATATATCGAGACGACATATGAATGGAAGTAACTATTGTTAATTGAAAATACGTCGTTGATTTGAAGCCAGCGGCAAGTGTTTTCTTTTTCTTGATCTCATGAATAAGCTTTAGTAAAAGACACCACGTTACCTAGTCTAGGAAATAATCATTTTTGATGATTGGCTTTGCATATATTCTAATGTCATTTAAGTAATTATTTCAAATAAATGAATAATTTGAGATTGACAGAAAATTGTATTAAAAGTGGTGTTTTTACAAAGAATCTCTGAGTATAAGTTATAGGATTCAGCAAAAAGTCAAAGGGCAGTACAAGTTTTGCTGAAACATGACTGATGAAAATAGATATGATTTCACAGCACTTTTTTAAAGAAATGACAGGTTAATAAAAAATTTTCATGCATGCATCTTTGTGATCTATTGTCTATAGTGGCATATTTCTGACACTTACGTGCAAGAGAAATTACGTTAACAGGCAATTGCAAGATAGTTATGTTCACATACAAGATAATGTTTATTACTTATTATTGTCAACATGCAAGTTAAATTATGTTAACATAATTTATCCAGCATGTAAGGGGCAGACATATGGCATGATAAATACGTTTCATAAGATAAAATGGTATTTGTTTTATTGCATGCTCATATAAATTTACCATGATCTCTATTTAAATACTTGATTCTGACGAGATACGCGTATTGCGCACGCATCAAGCCAGGTGAGCATAAATTGTTAGCACAATATTTCCATACTGAATTGACTACGGCTTTCTTTATTTATCCAAAAGGTGTTATATTAGAATTCGTAGTTATTCAGCATAAAAAGTAAGCAAAATATTTTTTCTTAATTTTCTTATGTTTTCTTATGATATATTAAATAATAAAAAGCATAACTATACCGTTTATATACCGTACAATAAATAATAACAAAATCAAATCAAAAGTGTTCTCTAATGTTTTATGGTTGACACTGTAGCTCTATATCGTATATCTCAATTTTGCAGACCAGGGACCTAACAATATGTAGCTAGTTCAAAAACATACTTTCTCCAGACATATATAAGTTTTTGAAGCGATTTTGGAGCGTCATATGTCCCGGTGGGAACAATAAACTTGCTATTGTCTTCATAGCTAGTAAATAGGTGTATGATATTCGAAGCATTCAGTGTAAATATAAATGCAGCTCAACTCTAAATTATCCATTTAATACATTGGTTACATCAACCCATATGACTGTGAGCAGACTTGACTTGAACCTTCCTGCTTTAGAAACTTATTTTATATAGTCTTCCAGAATATAATTTTCTCAGTCTCCATTTGGCGCACATTGCAAAATATAACACCTTTGATAAAAGCTTTTAATGCATGTTTTAAATATTAAATGTTAGCAAAACACACCAATAAACACTTTCACAAAGAAAATAAAGTTAATTTGTACTTGGTGTATATACTTTGCAAAGTTTCTTATAAGAATTCTTCCATACCATATTTTTTAAAAATGCTCTAAATTTTTGTTGTACTCAAAGCAAAAACAGATTTATAAAACTTTAATTTTACAACTTTCAATGAAAAATATTCAACACAGACTGCATTTTCATAAAATTACCTAGACCTGACAAGGGCGGTAATATTTTCCTAAAAGGGCGGATGAAATCTACTAGACCCCCGGTAACAGGAGTGATAAGTTTCTAATAGATATAAATGCATGAATTCCCGTATAACAAAGGTATTTTTCAATTAAAGGGGCTATCATTTTAAAAAAAAAAAAGATAAAGATATTGCAGTAGTTTGAAATAAAGTCAGGGGAAAGATAAAAAAAAATGATACGTTTTGTATATTTTTTTTTTAAAAGAATTAATAAAGTGAGATACTCTTACCTTTCAAGAATGTATTAATTGTACTTTGTAACACTATACAATTATTTAAAAAATGTATATGAATGAGAATATACAGATATAGGTAGAATGCATGTATATCTTTTAAAACTATTTTAATTAATTTTCAGAACAGAATATGACTCCATATGATTCTAAACATGACAATACATGTAGTAATAGTAAATAATATCTTTTGAGTAGGTCATTGTCCTTATCAGACTCAAGTGTTGCAAGATAATACAAAACCTACTCTTGTTGCAAAACATTGCAAAACTTCAGTCTTTTTTTTTCATTTGTAAGGTGGGACTGATTCATGTATTTATTTGCGCAATGATTTTAACCTCGAACTATTTAAAGTAAGCTAATCACTGAATATTTTAAATATACCCCGCTAACAATAGGACTTACTTATTTACAAACGACACATAGTGGTAAACAGTAAAAACTTATTGATAAAAACAAGTTCTCATAACTTCACACCCTTTCATGTTAGGTTGTCAAAGAATAGATCTCTCTCTCTCTCTCTCTCTCTCTCTCTCTCTCTCTGACCGGACATAAATATCAAAGACATTATTTTTGCATCAATTTTCTGTCTTGTAAATAGTAAATTAAGAAACTACGATTTCCTTAATTTAATTTAATTCATCAATTCCGACAGTCCTGCATGTGTTTTAATTCTATGACTGTTTTGTTCTGTACAGTTACACGTTTTCATGATTTTTTTTTTCTTCCTACTCTTATCTCCTTCATAGTGAACTATGAACAGCTTGAAAATATAGTTTGATTTATTTTGAAAATCCTTTACTATATTTATTCTATCTATAAATTAAAACCTATGACAAATTAAATCAAAAATAATATTTTTTAAGACGAAAAAAAAACCAAAATATGGAACTGATTCGTTACGAGTATTTTTATAGATAATATAAACATAAACAAACTACATATACTTTCAATGCATAAGGAACACTTTAATGAACACTATTTATGCTCAATTTCGTCGAAAAGTATAATCCTATTAAATTGTTGAAAAAAAAGAAAATCGTTTGAAATTAATTTTTGCACCTTCTTTCTTCGCAAGATTGTCAAAAGGTTTTAATTTTCCGTCACTGGTCCTAATAAGTTCTAAAAGGTGCCAATTTTATGATGAGTAACTTTTATTAAGGGAAAAAATTACAGGTAGAGCATGCATATATAGGTAATAAATAATTATTTTGCATGCCGTTGGTCGTACAACAGCACCTTGCCATGCCGACAAATCATCAGTTTTATTTCTCGACACGGCCAAGTGCTGATATACGACCAACAGCATCCAAAATGAAAATTCATCGTTTAAATATTGCTTTGCAATACCAATGCATTTACGATCTTAACCAACCTTTCGAGATTTCAGGTGACACAATACGAGAGGTTATCAAGAAGCGATAAAATTAATACCATGTAGTCTGTGCTTACAAAACTTATAAGGAACATTAGTCTATATGACCACCCGGCTCTGTCGCCGTTTAGTTTCAGGACGTCCGACAATGTCATAGTTTCTCAATGTCTACTTCTTCTACCTCATACACTTATCTTGATGAGATTCCCTGGAGTTAAGTAAGACTTAAACCCGCCTTGTTTATATGATTTTACAATGTTATGAAAAGCTGCTTTCAATGCATATAATATTGTAAATAGATCTATACATAGGAAAAGATCCTCACTTGATCATGCCAGCATATTTTGCTTTACGGTGTTTAATATCTACCATACATGATCACCGCCACTTTTCGACGTGACTGACTTTTGACACCCTGACTACAAATTGACATTTATTGTGCATCTTTCATCTCTCTTAATCTTTTTTGGCATTGAAAAGCAAGTACTATGGATGAATATTTTTTTAGGTCTATACCACTTTCTCCAGGGACAAACCTTTTTAAAAAAAATGTTGGAAAAAGAAACTCCTCCCCTTTTTTGGCGTCATTTTCAAGCCCTGTATTGTTTGGATACTCCATATAAAATTTGCGATAAAATTTCATAGAAATCACAGAATGAGTTAAAAATTGCAAATGTAAGGAAACAATTGTGTCATACCTCATGCTTGATTAAAGGGGATTTAGAATGACGAATGCTCACAACAAGAGTTTTTCTCGTTACACTCAGGTATGAAAAAGAATGTCATGTTCGAGGTTGCGCCACATGGCCATCCCATTGCTTATAAAAACATTAATAATTTATCAAAAAATAAAAATTTTGATTAATGGTTTATTCTATAGATACAAAAGATGATGCTAACTAAAAACCTTCGAACGATAATATTGTTCTGCCGCCTACCTCCAAGTCAAATTTCAAAATTTAATATATTTGAATGATTTTTCATATCTATAGAGATATGTATACTGCATGTGAATTTTCATAAAACATAACTTATTTGGGAAAACAAAGAAAGGTAACGGAAAACGGAATATATTTTTAAAACATCCCCCCGATGAAACAAAAATGTCTTTTTATGGGTTTTATGAATTGTTATTTCACAAATTTCTACCAAAGCTTTTTGTTCTTTCACGGGGGGGGGGGGGGTACGTCATATGTCTACAGACGAAAAATGGCAAAAATGGTCATTTAAATTTCAAATGAGATTAAAATAAAATATGGTTTTTTACATGTATCAATCTTTCATGTTGAATTTTATTTCAGTTAAACGTACGGAAAGATTTATGGGTCATTTTTCCATTTCCAATGATTTTTAGAGTCTGATTTCAATGGATAAAATTTTCAACCCTCCTTTTGAAAAGAGTCGTAAATAAGAGCAATTAAGTTTTTTACATTGGTTTTAAATTATTAATTAATTAAAATGAACTCTTTTTTGCATTCAATCTATTTTTAATGGCGAAACTGCCATTTATATTGAATTAAATGGGTGTAAAATGTAGGCAGGAATCGAAAGTTAGCGTGAGTGGTTATTTGTTAAAACTCATTGATATACCTAAAACGGTTTTAATTTTATGGCGGTAGTCCAAGAACTTTTTGATAACCCCTCGTAAGTGCCCATAACTTTAGATGTTTCACTTTCAATTTCTGCTTTTCGGGATAACTTCATAAATTCTATATTCAACAATTCTATTTAAAAGTAGGTGTCTGTTTGCTATCAATTTCTTTCTCTAGAAGAACATCTAAATATGAAACAGATGAGCCAAACCCCATGGTGCCTTTTATTTAGATTTCAATAGGGCATATTGACTCAACGTAGAAAAGGAAATAAACAGTGTTAATTTATAAAATATATATAATTGATTGATTGATTGTGCATTGTTTTACGTCCCGTTCGAGAATTTTTCTCTCATAAAGAGACGTCACCATATACCGGTGAAGGGCTTCAAATTTAGACCTTTACTCGGCACTCAGGGCCATTGAACAATGAGGGTTCTTTATCGTGCCAACGCCTACCGTGCCTACCGTGAGATGGGGCCTCAGTTTTTAAGGTATCATCCGACGGACCCGCAACGTTCACTCCAAAGTGCCGTGCGCTTAGCGAAGGAACAGTTGCTACCTATTTTGTATCGACTAAGGTCGATTCGAACACACGACCTTCCGCTCACGGACCGACTGGGCTACCGTGACAGCTTGTTTAATTAAAGGCCACAGCAAAAGTCTTCGTTTTTAATACAAAAGTTTTAGAATAAACTCTGCTTCATATTAATATAAAAGCAGATCTGCTGATAATGGGGCAAAATTAGTACCCAGAGAAATCCTATCAATTACTGTATGTGTACTCGAAAGAGCGGGCTTCATGTTTTTTATAATTTATGACTACTCAAACAACTCAATGCCCAATGATTTCGCTAAATTTATGTACATGTACAGTAGTTGGAAGACTTAGACTCCGAAATCCAAATAGATATTGTCCTTGAAAAGCTCAAGCATCATTTTAAAACCAACCTCGAAGCACCTGTCTTTAAAATGTTTTAAGAAAATAAAAATAACATACGACCAATGATAAGGTATTCAAACTTCTTTTATTGAAAAAGCAGGTGTCTAATGTCAAAGCGTCTGGTCGTCAATTGATCGTGGACAATGGATGTATAAAGAGTTGAAAAAGATGCACTTGATTTTGATAAAATTTTGTGCTTTCAGATGCACATGATTTTGATAAAATTTTGTGCTTTCAGATTTTCTGAGTTCCTTGCAGTATTTAAGTATCTACATCTCGGATATTTGAGGCACAAAAATCTCTAAATTCCCTGCTTTTAATATTTTCTTGAGGAGTAATGAATGGTTTTGGCTTTGTAGAACCTGCTTTAGAACCTGCTGTAGAACTTTAATAGTACCTGCAATGTATCTCTGTTTTTAAGAATTTTAATAGATTTTAGAAATCAAATATACATGTAGGTATAGTACATGTGTCAATTCAATCTGTTTTTGAGAAAAATATTCAAAACTGACGTATAATTTTGAAAAAGTTCCTCCTTAGAAAGGGAACAATGAGTATACGTTGGATTACCACTTGTAAAATTAAATCCAAGTTCCTTTAAAATACAATTGTAATGATATAATGAGCCTTCAAACATGCTTTGCCATGTAATCATACAACATAGTTTACATAGAACTTTGTCAAAGTTGTAAACATTTGTTATATGCATTTGCTTTGTAAATAATCTTCGCTGCATCATTTTTTTATGAATTTTGTAGATATGACGAATCTTATGACGAAATGTGTGTGTTCAGACTTTACATATATAATATATGATAGAATCATGATAGTCATGAACTTATATTTACATCCACTGAATATATTTTCCTTTATTTCTAAAGTAAATCATTGCCGTTTATCAGTTCATGAACAACACAAGGCATATCACCTGTACAGATTTCCTGATCAGTGGCTGTTCCATCAATGAAATGTACTATGATGTACATATATCAATAATAGTTTACAAAAAATAATCTTCTCAATCCTCTTTAAATGATCATTTATACAGATATAAATATAAACAATAAAATGTCTTTCTTTGGTTGCTAGTACGGGAATTAACGTCGCAGCTATTGCAGAAAAAATTCACATAACCCGCTTGCGCGGGTTATGTATTTTTTCTGCAACAGCTGCGACATTAATTCCCGTACTAACAACCAAAGAAAGACATTTTATTGTTTAAAGTTATCAATTTAATTTTATCATTTTGTATTTGAAGGAGACCGAACTATTCTTTCATTTAAATAAACATTCAATTCTATTCCTTTATATCCTACATCATTGACATTATTTCGCCAAATTATCTGATTGTCTGTGCGTTTTACTTTGATTTGTAAACGCGCATAAAAATTCTTTTCATAAAGACTTTTTGTTTTAAACTGGACAGCGTGTTATGATTGATAAAATATGACGAAAGTGAATATAAAAATTTTTGCTGCCCTCCTCGTAATGTTTGGTAATTTTTTAATGTTTTATTCTCTTTATCTGACAATGCCTTGTACACTACACTGAATAAAATTGCATAAGAAATGTTTTATGAGAAAGAAAAAAATTAATAAATTAATAATTGTATTTTGCATACATGTATTATAAATACAATCGTATAATTGTTATAGATATGGATTATTATACATTAATCATAAATAACATCTTGACTCTCATTTATTTAGGTAATACAATTGCCTCAAATTTTCCTCCGATAATTCACGTGCAATCAGGCGGTGGCATTCAGAGAGTGGAGGAAAACATTGCTATTGGTATGTACTTCATTCACGTATAAAATATTTATTATTGTAAACGTGTCTATGATTTTTTTTAATTATTTAATCAGAAAATACTGGCCGGTGGTAATTTCTGCGATACAAACATATGTATCAGAAACGAGGAAAACAATTATATAAAAGCATTGTGAGGGGAAATAAATTTCACATGAATTTCAACATATTACACCAGGGAAAGATTTAACTGAGTCCCAGTATGGACTGTCATATAAATCACGTAAATACAAATCAAGAATTGCGCTGAAATATCTCTGAAAACGCGAGTTGATGTGACGACTGGTGAGACATGGTGTTAAAATAAAAGAATTTAAAGATATACACGCTATATATACGCGATTTTTTATGTGAAACAAAATAATTAAATGCTTTGAGAAACATGATGTGTAATAAAAAATAATTACTTTCCACAAAGTTTAACTAAAAAAGTCGTTGTAGTTACAAAAGATTAAGCAAGATCTGCAATTAAGAATTCAGCCTATTCATGAATATTGATGAAGGAAATGCGTAAACAGTATACAGACACGCATGTCCGCGGGAAATCATAGACAACGAGGTACGTTGCATTTTGACTACGATTTTGAATAAAAATTAATATCTGTCATTACAGAGTAGATGGTTCATACTGGTTGTTTTCAAAGATAAGTATCTTTAAGCATAAAACGTATGCCATCCATGTCAAAAGTTATTTTGTATACCAAACGGCCTACCTCGTTTTTTGACGCCATTTTTGTTTATCAATCTAAAAGTAGCGACGGTGTCACATGATGTATGAATTTAAATAGAGGTATTACTTTCCTAGTAGGATAATAAATAATTATATTTTGAGATCTTTAGACTGCGTTCATTTCTAATTGTGTGATTTTCAATATTATCGTAACTTTATTTGGTAAACAAAAGAAATAAATTTCCAACTTTATTTTTAACTGACGCAAGTTATAGCGTGTATATCTTTAAGATGATTTACTCCCACGTCGAGCATTGTCAATAAGAATTTATCATCATTCAAATGTATCCAATGTAATCAAAAGCATGTAGAAAAATGAAAAGGATTTTTAGGCTGGTGCATGTAACAATTGGGCTTATGTATATGTCTCTCCCATGCAATACTTAAACCAGGTAGCACTGCAGGAGATAGGGTTAGAAGGGCAGGTCTCGCTACCCGCCTTAGAACGCTGGCGATCGTTCAGGCCTGGGCACTAATGTTTCACGCAGGCCCCCAGCGTGCCCCTTACATGTGTAGTTACACTGGCGCACTGGTCGGCTCCCCAGTTTCCCCACAAAAATGTGCATGCGGCCAACATCCACCACTTATGATCAATGTAATAAATGTTTTAAAAAATATATATCGGTTTTTCAGTTATCTCTTGGAATCAGTACTTACTAAGTGAGGATAACCAAAGTGCATTTAAAGCTGTATCGCATGGGGAATTTTGTGTTTTTTGTGAATTCAATAATTAATAGGATTTGATTGTTCATTACTTAAACAAAGTCCGCATTCGTCAAATAGGTTGTCAAAGTATTAATTCATTCTTTCTTAAGGAAAAAGTAAAACAATAATTCATTCAAATTACATGTATTCAAATAATACCTTCATGATGCATAACATGTAGTCTGCAATCGGAAACAGAAAGCCTTTAGCTTTAATCAGTTAATATAAATTTTTATTCCTGTAACATTGAGTATAAAATAGTTTTCGAAGGTTCAAAATACCGCGTCCTCATTTGTAATCATATAAATCTATTCAAAGTTTACAATAACATCCTCTTGTGGGTAAACATTCGATTCGAATCGCATGGAGTATATTTTTGAATACCGGTATGAACATTCAGATTTTGATACCTAATTATAAACCATTTTAATTTGATATTAGAATTCTAAAATATAAGAAATGAAAGACGTGTTTAGAAAAAAAAACTTTTGCTTTTTAATAAGGAGTTCATCAATTATAACAGGTACGAAGCTTTTCAGTATCACAGCACAAGACAGGAATGGTGGAACTGTAACTGTTAGAGCAACAGGAAAAATCAGTGACATCGTTACAATCAATCAAACACAGAGTGATTCCTGGGCAGTTTTTCTGAAAAAGAAGCTAGATAGAGAGGTTTAAAATTTGCATATGTTGAACATTTTTCTAGATATTTAGCGTATGATGTGAATTGAAGAACGTAAATCGTTATATAAACTTCTTGTGGAGTGTTTACATGTCTTTAAAGTAGTATTAACCTTAATCTAACTTGCCAAGTACTTAAAATGTGGTAATCATTTATAATTTATAATTTTTTTTTATAAAAACTAAAAATAAATTCAATATAAAAATTGTATCAAACTCATGAAAAGGGTACTAATGAATGTTTTACACATCGTAAATTCAAAACGACACAGAAATATATTTTAAACAGTGTACAGTGAGTCTGAAATATTTAATTTATTTTTCAGACACATTCACAATATCTGTTAAGATTCATTGCAATTAGCAGCGAAGAGGATGCTCCTTCGGTAAGATCTTGTTCGTAAATATGGCAAAGCTAAGAAAAATTCGATTGAAATTTGTATGTGTTTATACAGTGTATTTAAATATGTTTAAACTTTGTAGTCCGCCTTAGATGTAACCCTTTTTGTGAATGACGTAAATGATGAACCTCCTCGATTCTCACAATCTATATACCATGTCCAAGTCCCAGAGGTAAAAAACGTTGTATAAGTATATTTATACAATTTATTACACATAAAATGATAATATAAACTACATTCTTAAAAATCAATCTTCCAATTCAATATAGTATTATACGTCCCCGTAACATATAATTGTCTTTTATCAGAGCCACTCTATAGGTGATGTATTTAATGTCTCCATCTCCGCAACTGACCCTGATACCAAAGCTGGAGGATCAGTGTCATTTTCCATAAAGGTTTTTATCTCTTTTGCTATCTTTAAGACATATTTGCTGTTTTCTTATCAAAGTAGATATTTGTGTCTGTGTCGTCTTATAACATGCTTTATCATACAAAAGAAATAATTCCCGCGTCGGAGGAATTGTTGGAGAATATACCCCGACAATCGAGAGATCCTGTTGGTAAATAAAAACCAACAAAATCTCGAGACTTAGGGGTATATTCTCCGAAAATTCCGACGACAAACGATTTATTTCTATTCTACTACGGCGAATTTTTAAACTCCTTTACAGAGAAACGGAGAAGTAAATAACACAAGTGCCTTATTACGTCACAATGGAATGCTTCATCTCGTTCTTAGCACTTTACGCATTAGAAAAAGAACGAGGAAATTCAAATTCAAAGTAAGCTATTCTCTGCTAATTTGCGTCACAATCAAAAGAGGCCCCAGTCTTTCTCCTAGTAAAAGCAGTCAAAATTAGAGGAAACCGATTTAAAGTTATTGATAATTTGTTGATGACATTTGTGATTTATTGGAGAATTATGGTCGCGGCATTTTTGCGATAACCGTAGTAGAATAGAGGGTATCAAATTACATAAATCGAGTCATGCCTTCAAAGCAAATTATACAAAGGTATACTAACACAGTTTTTAAGTGCAAAGAATTATTCTTCAAACAGACATTAATATTCAAAAATCTACATGACCTATGCTTTTTTAATGAATTGGATAAGTATTTTTTAGAATCAGTTATTTAAAAATATAGTTTGTTTTATTATCAAAGACGAATTGATGCTTTGTTTGAGTAGGTTCAAATAAAATAATATATAAATTCCTTTTTGGCATTTGCAGCCCGCTGGCCAGGTAATAAAACTACAAAAATATCTATGTAATTGTGCATGCATTGGTTTTGTACGCTTTTTAAAATTGATATAGGAATATCAGACACAATTTTAAGTAAAACCTTGCAATCAAGTAAGTGTTCTAAGTATATAACTTTGTGATGTAGATCATAATTTCCATTGTTTCAAGGGTATTCCCTGCAGAGTTTTGCTTCTGATCTCATTCTGAAATAAGCGTTCTTTAAATAAAAAAAATACTGTCCTGTTTTTTCCTTTTATTTTATCATATTTAAGTAAAGGAAATATGCCAAATACAGTTCTGTACGAAAAAATATCAGTCACTTTTAGGCCCGTTAGGGCCGAAAACTGTCTGATTTATTTTTTTTTTCATACAGAATTGTATGAGGCATATATCGTACTTAGAACATTGCTTTTTGATTAACTTTGAGACAGTCCGATATTTTAACAATAGACAAAAGTGTTAATGACCATTGAAGCAATACTTTCTTGAATGCATGCTTGAATGAAAACTTCTCGGTATTTTTGGAATTAGCTAAACGAATTAAGGGTATTTGAAGTAATATACATATAGTTGTTTGGATTAGAGAGTAGGGGTGAAACACCCTTAAGAATATGCATTGGATTATGATACAGACAGTCTAGGTAATGATTTTTTAGGGGGAGGGGGGAATGGAAAGGATAATGCAGACTGGAACTTGATTTTAATTGAACAAACACAGACAATAAAGGTATATTTATTTCTAACTACTGACATTGAGAATAACTTCATAAAAATTGCATGTGTAATAAATCATTTTTGTGTAACTAGAAGTAGAACTCTTCCTCTTTTCTTATTAAAATGACAGGTTTACTAGCTCTGCTTTATTAAAAAAAACCTAGAGTAAGAGAATTTCTGAATTTTAACACTCAAAGAAAACATCACTTAAAGTCTAACAAGTGTATTACAAGTTCACGAAGCTCATTTTTTTTATTTTATCCCTTCCTATTTTAATATTTTCTTTTAATTGAAGTCATTTTTTTTATTTTCCAATTCAAACTCTATGATCAGTAAATAATATTCTGTGAAAAAATAATTATGTCTGCAATAAGATCAAACATTGCTGTTTGCTGTTTGCCAGATAATCACATTTTAAATTCTTTTGTTCAGTAACAGTTCAATTTTGAAGGATTTAAGTACAGAAACAGTTTAATATTACACTTAATATCAGATTGCTCACTAATATCGGACTGCCACAGTAAATTTTTAGACTACAAGAATAAAGGAATGACACTACAGCAATGTTTTAATCATATTTAATCCTTCATGTGAAATATGGCGATAAGGAACAGTATTCAAGTTCAAAGTGCATTTAAACAATACAAATCATTAGCAGAGCAAACATGGACCTCAAAAACACCAGAGTAGGGATCAGGTGCTATGGTGGAGTGAGCATTCCCTGCCGACCGGTCACACCTGCCACGTGATGTTCCTTGTCATGATCTGGATATTCATTCCGGATCTATCTTTTTGAACAATATATTATGCGCATCTGGTGCATCAAAATTGTTACCATGTATGATTTACATTATGATCCCTGGTTCGAGGCCTCTGCTGGTGGACTGTTATTCCCCGAGGATTTCTACAGTCCAGTAGCTATGTACTTCTGTACTAACTTGAAAATACGGATAAATATTTAATTGTGGTAAATTTTAGAAATTTATTTCAAAATTAAGGATTATCTTCCTCATGCAAAGCTCTGATTCTTCGATGTATTTGATTCCAGTCTTTGGCATCTTTTTCAGCTCTTCAAAGTCTTTTTTTTATTTAAATATTTTGGATTTCCAACTTTTGGCATGTGCATCAATGAAGAGATATAATTTGTCGAAACGCGCATCTGGTGCATCAAAATTGGTACCGTGTATGATTTACATTATGATCCCTGGTTCGAGGCCTCTGCTGGTGGACTGTTAGTCCCCGAGGATCTCTACAGTCCAGTACCTATGTACTTTGGTACTAGCTTGAAAATACGGATATACATGTGTATATTTCATTGCTATGGAATTTTTTAGAAATTTATTTCAATATTAAGTTTTATCTCCCTCGTGCTAATCCTTCGATGTATTTGGCTCCAGTCTTTGGCACCTTTTATCAGCTCTTCAAAGTCTTTTTTTAATTCAAATATTTTGGATTTCCAACGTTTTGACCTAAGCATCAGTGAAGAGAAATAATTTGTCGAATTGCGCATCTGGTGCATCAAAATTGGTACCGTATATGATTTACATTATCCAGTTTGATTATTCAGTCAAGTCAGTAACTCTTTGAACAACTCATTTCTTATTTAAGCGGCGGAGAGAGTAAAATGTAAGAGAAAACTATGTCAAATCACAACATTAAAATTCCTAGACTTGCAATTTGTTTACTCCTGAAATAATAAATTCATTACATTACATTAGGCTAACGACCATAATGTAAAATAATTTTTTTTTAATTTAAAAAAGACGCGGTATCATATTTCATGATAATGCTAGTATGTTTTCTTGTTTGTATGTTTGTGTGTTCGATTGTTTGTGTGTCTATTTGTATGTTTGTTTGTATGTTTTTTTATTTGTTTAGTGTCTCTTTAGAGAATTGTTCACTCTTATTGAGAAGTCACCACCAGAGGGTGGAAGGATGCAATAGACCAATACTTGGCACTCAGGGACTTTTAGCAGTAAGGGATCTTTTGCGTGCCAGTACCTACTGCGACACAGGACCTTGCTTTATACGGTCTCATTCCGAAGGACCAGATCTGGCAATGATTCCGCGATGTATGGATCAAATTCTTATTCTGACAGTCTAGAGCTAGAGTCTAATATGATTTTTTTAATAAAGCGTTTATTTTGCCTTTTAATTTTTTTTTCATACTATTAAATAAAACAAAAACATTTTAAAAATCCATAGGGCCATTTCCAACAATCTCCTATGCAGAGTTGTCGTTCGTTCCTCTCTCAGACACCTCTGCAATGGGCTAGCGTCAAGATTTTTGACATATGGTTAAAAACATTATATTCCTAGGATCATTTCAAATTAAACTAATATTTCTAGATCTATTTAGTAAATATATACCTTAAAGGACAAACATTAGTGTAGGAATTTAATTATAATGAATTAAAACAAACGCATTATTTCTCGTGCTTATCACTGTGAGATACGCGAACCAAAGACAGAGGTGAATGTATGAGCCGATGGTAGAGAGTGCATTTCTTGCAAATCACATATATTTTTAATTTAAAACTATGTAAAACATGTACATGTCTATAATTCTACTAATTCAGAAGCAGTGCATATTTTCTAAATAGCTACAGAACATGAAATTATGCATGAATATGTTTATGGGTTTCCATTACTAACAGACTCGCGCGCTATCTAGCATAGATTCCGATTTAGTATTACTGGGGGGGGGGGGGGGGTTCTTGCACACCATTGATTTTGTATCGGTCATCATTCATCATTGAATCTGTTTTTTTTTTATTTAAACTGTTTGTTTCGTATTTAAGTTTGTTTTTCAAAGTAATTGTTTGTTTTGTATTAACGTCTTTTTTTTTTACCTTTTCTGCCACCTATATCCTTCCTCATCTTGTCAAAACATTATTCTGATTAGTTAAATGTAATTGCTTGCACTAGAGCAATTTGAAAAATACTGTGATCTCAAATTACAAGTTAACCTAGATAATTCGCAACAGTTATGATTTCCCAGAATTTTGAATTAAAAATGATATTTATATTTATATGGTCATCTTAATACAAACTAGATAAAAATATAGTATGTATAGAAATAATTTTGTATCATATAATCAAATTTATATTTTTATGAAATGTGTAGAGATAACGAACAGTATTATCGCTCGAAAGTCCATTTAACATTACAA